AGAAGCTGAGCCCCAAAGGAAGGGAGCCCCCGGTGCCCACGAGCCGCACCGGACCCACAACACAGCCCTGACACAACAGCTGGATTCCGAAGTGGGAAAGGAACGAGGCGGCAGCTCAAAAGGACTACAGTGGTGCCTCGCATTACGACGTTAATTCATTCCAGCGAAATCGGTGTAGAACGAAAACGTTGTAATGCGAAATTTAAAAGCCCATAGAAACGCATTAAAACCTGATAAGTGCGTTCCTATGGGCTTGAAACTCACCGTCCAGTGAAGATCCTCCATAGTGCGACCATTTTCGCTGCCTGTGCAGCGAGGAATCTGTCCCAGAAAACAGCGGGGAGCCTTTTTTTAAAAAACCTGGTGGCCATTTTGAAACCGTCGATCAGCTGTTTTAAAATCGTCGTTTTGCGAGAATCGGTTCCCAAAGCAGGGAACAAATCATCGCAAAGTGAAAAAACCCTATTCAGACCATTGTTTTGCGATCGCAATTGCAATCGCAAAAAGATCGTCATAATGCGGTTTCAACATTAAACGGGGCGCCCGTCTTGCGAGGCACCACTCTATTTATCCATTTATGTTTCCATGCCTATCCCACCTTCCTGTCTGAAAAAAAAGGCCCTCAGGTCTTCCATTCCCTTGTAATCCTGAGAAGCAAGCCAGGGAACATCTTAACACTCAGGTCTCTAGAACATGAGACTTGGTACCGAAGACTCGGGAGTCAGACGTGGGACTCGCCAATACCCCTTGGGAGCCACAGCTCAGAAGACCTTGTTCTGTCTCTCGGACTCTGGGAGTTCTTACCCAAATAAGTAACTTTTCTCTAGCACTGCTCAACTCAAAAGGCTGCAGATCTGAGCCAAAGAAGAAGAGGAACCCCTAGTCCAGGCCTGGGCTAGGTGGGTGGTTTTTCGGCCGGATCCTGGCCAAGCACTGACTCAATTGGGCTTGTAAGCAACGCCCCTTGAATTCCATGGGGATGCTTAGAGGGGATGTGTGGGTTGATGGCATTCTATATTGGGAAGGAAGGAGCTCATGATGAATAGAGGGAGGGAGGGAGGAAGGAAGGAAGGAAGGAAGGAAGGAAGGAAGGAAGGAAGGAAGGAAGGAAGGAAGGAAGGAAGGAACGAACGAACGAACGAACGAACGAACGAACGAACGAACGAACTCATCCATCCATCCATGCCTTCACCTGCACAAGGATCAGCAGGGATCCCTCGTTCATCTGGATACGACCCTCCTCCAGCAAACGGCTGCTCTTGCTTGATGCGGGTCAGGATGTCAGGGGTCGACATCAAAGGTTCTGCTACCGGGAAAGAAGAGGAGAGGAGAAACATGACGGCTCGTGATGGGCCCCAGAAAACCTTGCAAAAAGGCATGATGCACGGGCTTGCAAATAACCTACACATACCTCTATTTTCTTGCAAAATTCAAAAACTACGTGTCGTTGGAATTAGCTTATTGCAAAATTCTAAAACTATGGGTCACAGAAATTCATTTAAGCTGGTAACAAAAATGAAAAAGCTTATGAAAAGCTCATGGTCCTTGGGATTTTTCCACATCCTCCTGCTTGGGAACCAACCAATGAGACGACGTTTTCCAACACTGAATGGCCCCAGCATTAAAAAAAAAAACAAGTAAAGTTACTTCTTTTGAACTGTAGCAACCAGAATTCTCCTCAGGCACCATGACCAGAGCCCCAGTGGGCTCAAGGATTTTGGGAGTTGTTGTCCAAAAAAAAGAGGAGCTTCTCCAGACTCCGCCAGCATTTCTCATCAATGCTTCAAGGGGTTAAGGGGGAAAAAAAAGTCTCGGGAGTGAATTGTGTATCATGCGCGGGTGGGGGGTCATTTCAGTTCGTCTTGAATCCGCCAGGACAGGGTGCCATTACAACTCCTGACTTTGGTGAGACCCACTGGGTGGGCCCTGATGATCTGCTTGATATGAAAACTGCCTTAAATGATATTCAAAGCAGGCATGTGAATCAGCTCCAATCCGGACCACCCCAGCACACTAGCCAAGGATGATCAACTTCCTGGGCTGTGGCCAAGCCAAGCACTATTCCCTTTCGGTAACTAAGCCTGCAAGATGGAGTTGCGCGGCGTGCAATGGATCCATTTCCTAGGTCCGAACAGGTCACATACGTAGACCTATACGCAGCCGTGATTTCTACGGCCAGCCCCCCTCACCTGTGCAAGGGTCCGGGGCCAGATCCTGCTCCTTCGTAGCTTGCTGCTCTGAGGCGCAAGGCTCTGGCCTCCGTTCCACCCTGGAATGCGGGTCCGCCTTCGAAACATTCACATTTGCTCCTGGGGAAGGAAAGGAAGGAGGAACGGAAAATTACATCAGATCAAGATCCTTTCGCTTCTCCCTTTTCCCCAGCTGATCCAGTAATCAATCTCTCTCTCTCTCTCTCTCTCACACACACACACACACACAAAACCCTTATGAAATATTCTCGTTCTCTCTTGGGAGGCCATTAAAAATCCTGCTGGGTCTATTATCCGTCTTTGCCTCCCCCTCCAGGTGAAGACGGACGGTTTCATCAGAGGCTGTGGTTCTTCCCCCTTTCTTGTTGCCCCGTGCCGTCAGACGTGTCAGGGGAGAAGCGGGACACAGACCACAACCTGGGAAAGCCATCTTGCTGAGGACTACAACTCCCACAATCCCCCAGCCAACATGCCTCTCCCAAGAGAAAGGAAAGGCCATCTAGGCTCTGCCATTAGAGTGATGGAGTCCGAGGAAGAGCATCACAGCAAAGGGGCCCTGATCGGTCAGTTTTCCTCTTCCCTCCTCAGCCCTTTTTCCTTTTGTATTGTGCTCCACTGACAATGGGACTTCAGGCAACAACGGTTTTGTGTTTTTTTTAGCATCTGTGTAGCCGTCAGAGGACAGGAGATGCTTTGTAAGTTACTACTTGCTCTTCCTCCTTCTATATTTGCATTACATTTCATGTAC